ACCAAGGGCTATGATGAGTGAGGAGTTATTTAGGCATCAGAGCTGCTGTGTGAGATGATGAAAAAGTTCTGCAGATGGATGGTGGTGATGGCTGCACAACAATGTGGACGTACTTAATGCCACTGAATCAAACACTTAAAATGGTTCCTTTAATGTTATGTATATTTCACCACAATAAAAAAAAAAATGAAAGAGAAAGGTCAACATGGTAAATTTCATATTACCCATATTTTACCACAATTAAAAAACAAAAAACTTTAGATGAATTGCAAAGGATGAGTTTGGCAAGACAAGGAGCACAATGACCTTCTCATTTCTTTAGCTTTCCACCTAGATACAACATCATCCATGACAAGGGAAAAAAACATTTAATATAAAACTAAAATCTTTCTCTACCTTTAGTCCTATTATCCCTGGGTCACTTAACTGAAATACTGAAATTTTTAAGAATATAAACATGCATGCTTACTAATTGTGCTGTTTTTTGTTATATATAAATAATTTAAACCATTTAACAGGAAAATAAATATTTTAATATACTCTGCATATAGTATACACTATTTAACTTATAAAACAAAGTCATAAGATTGCTCCTACTTGTTAAAATGTTTCTCCTTAGAAAAGTGCGGATGTTATATATAACGAATAACAAATAGAACAGCAAAGTGCTCAGAACAAGTAACTTAAAAATTAAATTTGTTTCCTAAAGCAACAAAATTTGTTTTTAATGAAGGAACACTAAGACATACAGGGTTCAAAATGAAAGCAATGTAAAAAGAACTATGATTCTTTAAGTAAAAATACCCTGATATGCACTGCAAGGCTTTTCCTAACTTCTTTACCACTGTCTCTTCTTCTGTTCTTTTCCACCCTTGCATTTTTGGGGGTGGGGGTGTGGGGGGGAGAGAAAGAGAAGGCTGAGACAAAGAACGGATAATAGGAATAAACCAGATAGTAGGAATAAGGAAGAAAAAACCACTACAGTTTATTTTTTATCCTCACAATGAATCCTAAATACATCACCATCATCATTATCGTTACCATAAAATGCTAACAATCCAGGGCCGGCCCAGTGGCTCACTCGGGAGAGTGCGGTGCTGAGAACACCAAGGCCCCGGGTTCGGATCCCATATAGGGATGGCCAGTTCGCTCACTGGCTGGGCGTGGTGCTGATAACACCAAGTCAAGGGTTAAGATCCCCTTACCGGTCATCTTTTAAAAAAAAAAAAAAATGCTAACAATCCAAATTTCTGAGGGCAAGGAACAACTAGATTTCCTGAAGTCACAACCCAATCTATAGCAAAAGAAAAAGAAACCATCTTCAGGCTTGCATTTGCAAATTAAGTCTGTATGCCAATTCTTCAAACAACCTTGACTGTAATACAAAGCTGCAGTTAAATACGGTGACATGAACCTTGGTCAAAGGGTGGAACACTAAGTTCTTTTACAGCTATCCAGCCCAAGAGGTGACATAAGTTAAAGAACTTTAATCTCAAACATTTCATTCACTAAGTACAGAAAATATCAAGGTTTTCATGAGATACTGTATGGTACAAGGAGACAACTATGCTGGGAGATAGCATCTGGTAATAAAAAAAGTTGTACCTCACAAATCCATATAACCAATTATGCTGCAATTAAAAAAAAAATTTAAAAAATAAAGTTATAATTAATGATGCTGTACATGATACTACAAAGTTCTTTGGGAAAAACAAAGTGAGAATTTGGGAAGACGCTAACTTATCTGTCTGAACTCAAAATAATCCTATAAAAAAATCCCATCATTCTAAGAGTCTTTTTGATCCCAGTGACAAGTGTAAAGGTCCCTGAATTGGACTGCTATTTATCAAGGGGGATGGCCTCCCTATACCACTAACAGTAATGTTTTTCTCCTGTTGTAAAACATTTGACTGAGGCTTAGCAAACACTCTCATATAACCAGAACCTAACATCAATGCTGGTATAATCCTGTGCTCCTCATTGTACACATTTTCACATTTTTCTAAAAAACTTCCCTCCTTTGTTTTCCTTAATCATCCTCCAAAAAAAAGGAAGACAAAAACTTGGTTCCTAGATATATATGCAGATTTTTCACCCCAGAACTTAGCCCTCATCTTCTGAAGGCAAATGCCCTTTATAACTCCCTCTGCTGTGGTTGCCACTTTTCCTAAACCACAGGTCTTCCTGACTTGCAGCAGGGCCAGGCCAGATTACAGTTATGTGGTAGGCGAGCTTTGACAAGGCCTCAAAATAGACCCTGGACACCAGCCAAGGAAAATGTCACTCACCAGTTCCAACTTCATCATACTTTAGCCCCTCAACACTTCATTTTTTTTTTTTTTTCTCTAATCTCTCTCATTTCAAAAGTACAAAGAATCCTGAACCTCTTCCTGGCCAGGAGTGACCCCTATAACATTGAAATTAAAAATTTAAACCTCCCTTATACTGAATACCTACTTCCTGCCTTGAGAATTAATCTATCAGTAGCACTCAGGTGTGCAAAAGGATTTTTGGATCTAAAGCTCCACAGAGGTTTATTTTACAGTGAATAGACTAGGATGTGGAAGGTAAAAGAAGAGGGAAGGTGGGCTATTAATTTCTCTTGTGACTAAAAATATAGTAGCAGACTTCAGCAGGGCAAGAAGTTAAATGATATACAATGTTTTCAATTGCAATTGGTCATAAAATTCTGAAACAATCAACCTACTACAAGATGTAGCTATTTCACTATTAGGAAACATAAATGGTTTACATATGACAGCACCAGTCTTCAAACCACAGTATTTCAACTCTTACCAGCACAAATAAAATTAACCACCTGACACTCTAAAATGTTTTAAATTGCTTTATAAAATACATTTGCAATTATTTTTTTAATGGAGAGATGGATAAAGAATACAAAGTAAATAAGTGCTCCTTTCTCCTTCTGCATGCCTAAGAAAGAAGTTCACTTCTATTATAAAATAAAGCCCAATATAGAATTGAAATAAAATTTTAAATTTTCACTACTTAAGTTCCAAACTTACAGTCACACTTTCGGAAATACATCCCATATACATACTTCTGAACCAGTGTAAAGCCTTATATACAAGTTGTTCATTATAGCAGTGTCTGTGTAAGGAGAAAAAACAACCTAAATGTAGGGAGTGATAAAATAAATTATGAAAAATGAATAAATTATGGTTCATCTACACTAGGCAGGACATCCAGTCTTTTAAAAACAAATGAGATTGACATACGTGCTAATATAGAAAGATCTGTAAGATATATCGAGGGTAAAAATGAAGGGTACAGGATATTTCTCTTAAATGTATGTAACTGTATATGTAATATAAAATTTGAAGAGGATATACATGAAACCATTGACAGTGGTTGCTTGGATTAAAGGATGGGGAAAGGAAAGGCTGGGAGTTTGTGGTAGAAAGACTTCATTTTCATCATGTAACATTTTCTTTTTAAATGTTGTATCAATTTTAGAAAGTCCCACAAACATCTATTGAACCCATGAAGTAAGCTTTATCTTTCTTTGTATACCATTTTTCCCCCTTCCTAACCACCTCTACTTTTATCTACTGCTCTTCCTACCACTAAACTAAAACAAAAGCATACACATGCAGCGAGTCTCAGAATTTCTCCAAGAAATAGAGTTTTCTCGGCCCTCCCCACCAAAATAAATAAATAACAGAACAAATTAAAAAGTATAACATAGGATAAACCCAGTTTTTAGCCTAGTGTTTGATTCCTTTTAAATCTACTCTATTTTATTGTAATCCGCAGAGTTTTAAAAGTAAAAGTGCAATATGCAACACCAAAAAATCATTTCCAAAGGTGTCCTATCTATTTATTACCTTAGAGAAATGGACAAACACTAAGTTATTTTACTTAAGACAAATTTTGCTCAATTTCTTCCTTCTAAAGTTTTAAAAGTTCGGTTTTGAATGATGGTCACAAAGTTTATTCTTTATTTGGAAACTGGATAAGGTAGTAATTTTCTCAGTTAAGGGACCATTTCTCCATTCAGATTCTCCAGAGAGAAAGCAACTACCTAAAAGGAAAAGGCTATGACTTGGACACTATTTTGTAGGCGGCTGGCCCCTATTTCGTAGGTGCTAAGTTAAGGAAAGAAGAATTTTCTTTTTAAGCGATCCTCATCAACATTCCCAGCACACTGTAAGGAGAATTTTTCTTTTTTTTTCTATACATCAACAACTCTGTTCCCTTTCACACCAGGAACATGGTAAACAATTCACAAAGAGCTGTGCAAGAAATTGCTCCCTCCCTCTTGCTAAATTCATTTCTAGTAAAGATGTTTTTGTTTTGAGAGAGAGATACTTTGCCAAATACTGTATATCTTCCATATCACTTTTTCTTCATTATGGAGATGCTTAAATCCTGACCTAGGAAGGTTTCCTTTTCATATTTACCTATCAAGACTGTCAATTATGGTGGGTTTCACAAGGGATTTTTCCAAAAGACAATCTCTGTTCACAGGGAACTGAAACTCTTAAGTCACTACTAGCTGGACAAAAATCAAAAGCAACATATAAGAATGGATATCCAAGTAAAAAAGGTATCCAAGTCAAAGAATTAAAGGAATTTGTTAAGAAAGACCAACAGGATAAACTTGCCACTACTTTAGAACTAACGTTCTTTAAAAGTGATCAAAGTAAAATAAACTGAATTCAAAAAAGAAGAAAAAGAAAAACGAAGCTAAGAGTATCAACAACTCTGTGATTTCAAAGATATTTTGCCTAACAACATTTTGAAAGCCAAAAATGATCAAATTACATTTCAGCAATAGTTATTTCAAGTTTAAAATGAAGCCATTCCAATAAATCACAACTTTAATACACACTTTCTTCTATAATAGATCTTAAATAAGAACAGTATAGTTAGTCTCATTCCACATTTTTAAGAACAGAATCACAAAAACGGGTGAGGCTTCCCACTCAAAAGACTACTTTGTATAGTGTAAATTCTTTCAGTGAACTTTTTCGTACCTTAGTGATGGTAGCTCTTCTTTCCACTGACATTGATTTTGCTTCTAGACTCCTTCATTTATCTTTCCAAATCTGGCAAAAAAAAAGGGGGGGGGGTGTAAAATCACAACAATCCACTTAGGAACGAACTATTCTAAATCCAACCATTCTGCAAAACTTCAATTTTTTTCCTTACCACACTTCATGATGATAAATATCCAGCAACAAACATGACAAAAGAAAGCATAATACAACACTTCCTATAAAATGAGCAAAGGCTTCTAATTAAACAGGCAGAAACAAACTTAGCTTTCCTCTATTTCGATTTTAAGATCCATATCAATGATTCACAAAGTGAGTGACCTAACTTCCTAAATGAATCACACTTTCCGAAATTCTTATTCTACATGAGTATAATACTAGGTCATCATCTCTGTATTTGTTAAACAGCATGATGTTGGTTAAACAGGGTTAATTCTGCAAGACTTCCAAACCACAGCAAACTTGGAATCCCTGCTAACGAACTCCATCTGCAACACTTTGCATTCTCCAACAACTGCACCTTCTCATAGATTCATCCCCAAAAGAAAATGTTATCTTGAAAAAAATAATGTCATTTTAAACACTGATTAAGAAGTTATCCACCCCTACCCTGTTCTCCATCTCTCTCGTTCCATCACTGCACCCACATTCTCTTCCCATTGTGATAACATAAAAAATTAACAGTTATCCTCCAATATCTCTTTTAGTCAATTAACCTACTGCTTAAGGCAGGAGTGCTGAGTCATTAAATGGAAACTCAAAGAAAACGAGCTACAAAGTACAGTTAAAGTTTAGGATACAATACTTCCCTAGCCATGTCTCAGCAGCCTGATATTTGTATTTCCCACGATGGAAAAAGTAGAGTAAACACTTCAACTTTTTTCCCTCTAAGAAAGAAAAAGCGAGTTTTCTTAGGTCCTCCTGCTTCCTGCTGGATATCCACAGCAAAGCTATATAATTTAACAATCTGAGTGTGAATAACAACTCATATTAGTAAAGCATTAACCCTGACCCTCCTAGCAAGCGCCTGTTAAGCCCGCGCTGCAGTTCGAGTCAAGGAGGGAGGAGGGAAAAAATCCCTTAAAAATGCTACGCCCTCCACCCGCCTGACACCGTTCCCTGGACTGCTCGTTACGGGACAGAACCGAAGGGAGTGTGGCGTCTCGGGAGAGGCAGAAGGACCCTCGGACACCCGAAACAGAGGGACGGTTGCCCAACTTAATTTCTTCTGCAATGGGAGTAACACCTTCCCCCCGCGCGGAGGAAGGGTGAGCTTTAGGAATCACGCGTGATGCCCGAGAACGCGAAAGGCAGGGGACGACCCCGGCCCGGGAGCCCCCGGCCCCCAGCAAGGGGTCAGCCGCGGCGCGGATCTCAAGGGGCTGCGGAGGCCAGAAAGGGGGCTCCCAGCTCCCCGCTCCCACCAGGCCGGCGGAAGAAGCGGCCCTTACCTATCTCTGGCCGTGGGCTGTGGCTGCGGCGCAACTTGGGAAGGGCCGGAGCACAGCTCGCCCGCCGGGGCGAGAGACGAAGGGCGCCGGGCGCGGCGGACCGACTCGGTCTCGAGTCCCCGGCCAGTCGAGCCGGCCTGGACGCGGCGGCTCCCAGCGCCAGCAACCGGCCAGTCAGTCGATCCGCTGTGCTCTCCGCGCCCCGGCTGAGACAGCGGGAACCGGCCCCCGGGAGGAGCCGCAGCCGTAGCGGCAGGCGGAGGCGGCGACAGAGGGGCGGGGCCACGGGGTCGGTGACCCGCTCACCCGGAAGTGATTGTGGCCGCGGCGGCCCAGGAGTGGCGCGGGCCGGGCTTGAACCCAGCCAAGCGAAACTCCCTGGTCTCTTCCTCAAGAGCTGCTGCCGGCGGGTTGGCCGGTGAGATTCCCCATGCGGCGATGCGCTTGCCTCCCTGCTGTGCCCCAGCGAGCTGCTGGGGCCCCGCGGGGGAGAGAACGGCGGGGCGTGGCCGCGGTCGCCGGTAGGGCGGAGCCCGGAGCGGCCTAGTGGGAGGTTCCTCTGGGCCCAAGGTTCCTGCCCATCCTCTCTGACCCCAGGACCAGGGCCCGTAATATGTATGAATCGATACGTGTGCAGGTTCACGGCGACACCTGCCCTGGTTCCCTCTAAGCCTGGGCTTGGGTAAGTGGGCCGGGGTGGCGCTTCGACTGTAAGAAGAGTGTGCGAGATTGGGTGTGGGTGAAATGCTAAAAGCTTTGTTTCCTAAGTGAAAACACATGATTTTAAAATGATTTCCAGAGAAGAATGCTTGGAGGAGGGGGGATATAAAGAGGGAGGGTTGAGTCCGTTAAAAATCTGATAGACACGGACCTGTCATTAATTCCAGAAGTAGCTATCGAGGCCCACCAGGTTCAAGGCACTGGGGAAAGACCAGAGTCCTGCTCTTGAGAAGCTTACTTTCTAATGGAGTAGACCGGCTTAAACAAACGAGGTAATGACAGATTGTTGTAAGGCTCGGCAGGAAACAGGGATGAGAAAGATTTTGTGAGCGAGGCCTATTGGGCCGGATAGGATGTCTAAAGAAAACCTCGGGAAGGAAGTGATAGTTGAGCAGCCTCCTATCTAAAAAGGCACGAAATACACATAGATACAACTTTACATACAGGGACTATAGATTCCAGAACCCCCTGAATAAGCCCATAGATTCCATGTTAAGAGCCTGACTCTAAATCTAAGAGCTGTTTCTGCGCTGCCTACTCCCTCTGCGATTTCAGAAGCCTTGCTCTCTCTCAGAGTTCATGGGGGCTGTTGCTTTAGCACTAACACGGGAGATTCAAGAGACACTGTTTCTCTTTGTGTTTCACTACTTTTCTCAGGTCCATGGAGTAAATAAAACTATTATTCTTACCTGAGCTCAAGAGCTTGATCTTCCCCATAGATCGTACTGTGTTATGATCTGAATGAAAGGATTAATGACGTCTTTTGCTAAATCAGTTGAAGATAAAAAGCTGACTTGCAAGGGAGAGAATCTATTCAGGTACTAATGTGTTACCTGAATAATACCAACAAGCTCAATGTTTATTAAATATTAACTGCGTGATTAATGGAAAGATTGGGTAATATTAAGTTAGATTCTCTTGCCCTTTTTATTTTTCTCCTTAGCCACTTGTTTTGGCTCACATCAAACTAATAAAGAGAAATATTTTGCAACGTCTTTTTGGGAAAACTGGAAGGGAGGTAAAGCTTATTGAGTGCCCACTGTTTACACAGAATTGTGCTAGGCACTTAAATATATTATCCCTTCCAGTAACAGGACTAACCTTGAGATATAGATATTATTATACCCATTTTAGTAACAAAGACATTGAGGTTGGACAGATTGTGACTTGCCTAAGGTAACAAAACTAGCAGCTGGAAGAGCCAAAATTTGAACTCAGGACTATCTAACCCTAATTCCCCTTTTTCTTTACACTATGCTGCTGTGCTTTAATATTTAAAAGGGAAAAATAAATGGAGTATTCAGCAAAGCAAAATTCTATATTGGTTTTAGAAATTTTTACTATGAAAATATACTTTAAAGTAGAGTGATATGGGGCAGTTAAGGAACTTCTCTGTTTTTTTACTTTTCCCTTATGGAAAATTTGCCATCTATTTGGCAAAAAAAAAAAAAAAAAAAAAAAATTACTCCACTTGTTTTAAGAGTTTATAATGTCATATGTTATTTGAATGCTGCCAAGAATGTTATAAAGTATGATGCTAACATTGTGTCACTGCCAACAGGGTCCTGACTAAATGCAATCACCCTGAGTTATTTGATGCGCAGTATTTCCCTGCACGAAGTGATTTCTTCCTGCTCAAAGTATGTGTTCCCAGATCTATACAGAATATTCTGACATGTGGGGCCGGCCCGGTGGCGCACTGGATAAGTGCGCGGCTTGGGAAGCGTGGCGGCACTCCCGCCCGAGGGTTCGGATCCCACATACAGACCGGTTCCCGCTCACTGGCTGAGCGAGGCGCGGGAGCAACACCGAGGGTTGCAATCCCGTTGCCGATCCCCGGTCCAGTACGGGGGCAACACTGAGGGTTGCGATCCGTTGCCGGACACGGAAAAAGACAAAAGACAAAAAAAAAAGAATATTCTGACATGTGGATGCCCCCAGGTCTTTGTGGGCTGGCTGCTCTGGGGATGTATTAATATTAATGAAAGAAAATTTTGGGGCCGCCCATGGCTCACTCGGGAGAGTGTGGTGCTGATAACACCAAGGCCCCGGTTTCGGATCCCATATAGGAATGGCCAGTTAGCTCACTGGGTGATCATGGTGCTGACAACACCAAGTCAAGGGTTAAGATCCCCTTACCGGTCATCTTTAAAAAAGAAAAAGAAAAAAAAAACTTTGCAAGTGTACAGTTTTGGGGGATGAGGTGGTAGGATTTGTACATTTTTGATCCTTTCATAAAAAATCCTTCACATTTTTCTTTGATAATGCCAAGAGATAAAATTTTTCCTTTCTTAAGAGCAAATACTCATTTTTGTGGTTTTCACAAAATTAAGTTGTCTTCTGCAAACATGATACTATGTTTCACTTTTTACACATCTGGAAATATCATTAATTCAGGCATTGAAAATAGATGCCACTTTTCAAAGCCTAATATTTGTATTCGTAAAGTGTGTGTGTGTGTTGGGAATGTTGGGAGCATTTTTTAAATTTTAGTTAACTACTTATAAGCCTATAGAAACCTGGCAATGTAACTGTCTTAGACTGTGTATGTTTGTTTTAAGTTTTCTTTCTAAAAATTCTTTATCTAGAGTTACTGTTTTTTCTTACTGTCATTTTTTTTCCTTTTTATTTAGAAATAATTATAGACTCACAAAAAGTTGCAAAAATAGTACAGAGAGGCTGTGTGTACCATTCACCCAGTTTCTCCCACTGATACCATATTACATACCTATAATACATTATTAAAACTAGAAAATTAACACCATGCTGTTTTCTTTATGTTTTTACTTTTTATGTTTCGTTATATCAAAAAATTACCGTTTTGCAGTAATTCATTTCTATTATATTTGATTTGGCTCCTCTCCCTTTCCTAAATTAGCAGATGTTAATAATAGCTCCTAAGCTTGCCATGGTACTTGTTTCAAATTACAAGTTTATTTTAGAATTCTGTGGATCAACACAGTTGAAAGTGATTCATTTGTCATGTTTTTGCTTTTTCTGCTTATGCTTTTGCTTTTTCTGTTCTATGTCATCCTGACCTAATAAACCTGTTCATTTATACAACCTGTGTATGTGTCTATTTTAATTTATCCTCTGACAACTGAAATATTTTCAAAGAGATTGCTATCAAAGTAAAAGGAAAAAGAATACAAGTGCTTCTCATTTGACTGAAAAATAAAGTTTCTAAACATCTCAAGAATGCCATGGTCTTTTGGTTAGGATACAAAAATCTCACTTATGGCTAATTCTGGTTTAACATGGATTCTCTTAGCTAGAGCAACTAACCATTTACTCCACCAGAGAATAAACAGAGGCAAAAACAAAGTGTAAATTACTTTCTTTTGTCTTAATGGTGAGGAAGTTTGGTGAGGGGAGAATTTGGGACTTTGTGTAGGTCTTAATTATGTGTGAACCTAACCACAGATAATCAAGTGATTGCTCTTATGCATTATATATTCATTATAAATGAGTAATAAAATATCCTTAATAGCATGGCTTTTTTTTTTTTTTATAGAGATGACCAGTAAGGGGATCTTAACCCTTGACTTGGTGTTGACAGCACCATGCTCTCCCAAGTGAGCTAACTGGCCATCTCTATATAGGGATCTGAACCCATGGCCTTGGTGTTATCAGCACCACACTCTCCCAAGTGAGCTAACTGGCCATCTCTATATAGGGATCTGAACCCATGGCCTTGGTGTTATCAGCACCACACTCTCCCAAGTGAGCTAACTGGCCATCTCTATATAGGGATCTGAACCCATGGCCTTGGTGTTATCAGCACCACACTCTCCCAAGTGAGCCACAGACCAGCTCCCATATCATGGCTTATTTAGTAAACTTTTATTCATCTGCTATATACCTGGGCACTAGTAACACAGTGACAAAACCGAATCTCTTCCCTTGAGAAGCTAGAATTTCAAAGTTTCTGGTCACTTAATATATATTTTTAAATGAGAATTAAGCTCTTAGTGTGTGCCAGACACTTCCTAAATGCTAGGGATCCAATGGGAAGCAAGAAGAAAGCTGTGATTCTTTCTGTCATGAAATTTTCTGTCTGGTAAGGGAGACAATCTCACAAAAGTAACATTACAGTCTAACAGGGTAGGTATGTGCTACCATAAGGACATAAAAGAAGTGGGGCTCAACCTAATCTGGGGTGTCAGAAATGGCTTCTTCGGAAGAGATGCTTATGTGCCAAGATTTAAAAGTGCCTCAGAATAAACGATGCAGAAGTGGAGGAAAAGCAAGGAAGAACATAGGTAGACCTCATGATAGAACCAGCAGAGGGACTGAAATGAGAGAGAATGTGAGATGAGTCTAGAGAACTAAGTAAGGGTCCAACATGCAGGGTCTTATAGGCTTTGGTAAGAATTCTATCTTCTGAAATCAGTGAAAGCCAATTGGGAGTTTTCAGTGAGAGTGACTGAATTTGTATTTTCAGTGAATCAAATTTGTATTTTCTAAAGATCACTCTGGATTCAATATGAAGAATTAATTATTTAGATAAATATGTCCTGA